GCCCGGCTTTCCTTGCTTGCTAGGCTTAGCGTTTGAACCGGCGCGGGCGGCTCGGGTGCCTGCCAAGCGCTTCGGCTTCCCTGCTTCCCCGCCTCGCCCCCTTGCGGCCTGCCTGTCGCTTTGCACAGGGCTGTATGGTTGCATCGGGGAAGGGTGACTCCAGGATGTTAGGAACTGTGAAGATGGAAGGGCATGAGAGCAGCGACTGGAACAGCTACTACGCGGACACGCAGGAGGTGAGAGACGGGCAGCAGGCGGGACAGTCTGGGGGCCCGTGCCGGGGTAGGCCGGGCGAGGCGGACGCCGGGCCGGGCGGCCGGCCGGCGGGCTGGGGACGCCTCCTCGGTGCCACCGCTGCCCGCCCACCCGGTGTGGCCCCGGACAGACCTTGGCGGGGCCTCGGAGCCGAACCCACTGCCCGGCGAGGGGGGCCGGGACACGGCGCTCGGCGCTGGGAACGGGCGAAAGGATTTCAGGATATTCTGGGCTTTGAAAGCACCCGCCCTGGGAAGCATTTTCCACTTCCGCGTGGGGAGCCCGAGCCCGAGCCGGCCCGAGGTGCCGCGGTTGGCGGGTGGGCGCTGGCAGGAGTTGGGGCCACTGTGACAAAGCCATCAGTTGCCTACAAGGGCGGCTCTTCCTCCCGCAGTTGAATTCGCAGAGGTGTTCTGATGAAAGCTCTTGGCCGCTCAGTTGAGCGACTTAATAAGGCGCCGATTCCAAAATTTTATAAAACTTCTTCAAAAGCTGTTTGAGGAGAAGTGTGTTCGTTCTTCCCTAGAACCGCTGGGTGGCGCTGGTGCAAGCTGACTTTTCCTCCAGGCGAACCTGTTTCTCTTTATTGTCCCCATGGTGGCACGTTCATATAGTTTATTTTACAGTGTGCACAAAGGGATTGCGAGGAAAATCAGGTACTGGCCGGGCCGCCACCAGTAAATTTCTCTGGAAACAAATGGTGATCACCTCTCAAAAAGTTTATCATTATTGAAACTGCCTTGGACAGTTTTGGGGAGAGGAAAAGAAAAAAAACAAGCGAAACATAGTTTAAGACATAGAAAAATATGACATCAGGAAATATTGTCATGGTAATTAATTGATTTAGATTTGTATATTTATATCTTCACAAACTTAACTCAGAGTTTATTTGCATATACCATAGCAGCGTGTGCCCAGTTAAATCTGTTCACCTTTTGTTTTAAAATAAAGTCGTATTTCCTGACGAAAATAAATTTAAGAATATCATTATTTTTATTAAGTTATCAGAGAAGTAGCTGTTATATGTCTGGACTCTATATTTTTAACATATCTATTGCATTCCAAAATTTCTGTGGATAAGGGTTTTTTCCTACTGGTGATTTTAAAAGGAGCTCAGAACTCTTTCTCAGGTTTAAATCAGATGCAGTCATCTCAACCCACTGGTTAATTAAGCCCTCCGTGGAAAAGGGGGTTCCTTACAGGTTAAAGCGGAGATTTGGGAAGTAAAAAATAAGTAGACTTTGATTTTGGAATTTTAAAGTATTTGAAAACTATTAGCCAGGGTTTGTAATGATCAGCAGCAACATGTCAGTATGTGAAAAAAAAATAGATGAATATTTCAACAAGCTGTGTCACAAAATCTTCAAACATCAGGGGACTGGAAATACGTAATGAAATCAGTGCACATTTTTGAATGGCTTGAAGAAGTGTACATGTAGTCATGTTACAGTTAACGGCATTGATATTATCATGCAACCCTTCCTGAACCTTCCCCTGTTGTAGGTCTATTTTGCATTTTTTTTCCAAAACCCATTTAACCTGCGAGTTTCTCTCTATATTACAGTTGCTACAGGTAGATGGAAAAGACTATTTCTAAATATAATAAACAACACAAAGTCACCATTTGACAAAAACTGCCAAGACAGTAAAGCCAGTTGAGAAATGGATAGTCATATGGCTGTGGATGCTTTATTCTATCAAGAGAGTTTAATTAATAGCCAACCCACAGATACATGGCTGCTATTTGGTCAGCCAGCCTGGCAGGTGTAGGTGAGATGGGTGCTGAGTTGTTGCCAACCCACCGCACTCTAACGGTGGAGTGAATAACCAGAGGGTCAGAGATTAATCCTGTTTTCGGAGTTTTAACTCCTTTTAACCAAAGGGCACTTTCTTTGCGGAGGCCTCCTGGCCTGGAAGGAAGAGGTGGTGGAGAGACCCCAGAAGCCAGCCCTGGCGTCTGGGGTGTAAGGGGATTACACATTTTCCTGGGGACATTTGCTGTGAGCTTGTCTTTCATGCCTGCCACGCTAGGATTTTTTCCCTGTGGTGCAAGACATTTGTTCGTTCTGGGGAGAGCGCCTGCCGGTTTGCCCTGGGTAGGGGGTCCTATGCTCTCCTCTAGCCGTGGGGTTCGCGCACTGCTAACTCTGCCCTTCGGGGCCTCTTCGCCCGCTTTCTCCACTCCAGGCCTATTCCTCAGTCCCGGTCAGCAACATGAACTCGGGCCTGGGCTCCATGAATTCCATGAACACCTACATGACTATGAACACCATGACCACAAGCGGCAACATGACCCCAGCTTCGTTCAATATGTCCTACGCAAATCCGGGCCTGGGCGCCGGCCTGAGCCCTGGCACGGTGGCTGGCATGCCTGGGGGCTCCGCGGGAGCATGAACAGCATGACAGCCGCGGGAGTGACGGCCATGGGGACGACGCTGAGCCCAGGCGTTCATGGGCGCCATGGGCGCGCAGCCTGCGGCCTCCATGAACGGCCTGGGCCCCTACGCCGCAGCCATGAACCCCTGCATGAGCCCCATGGCCTACGCGCCGTCCAACCTGGGCCGCAGCCGGGCCGGGGGCAGTGGCGACGCCAAGACTTTCAAGCGCAGCTACCCTCATGCCAAGCCGCCCTACTCCTACATCTCGCTCATCACCATGGCCATCCAGCAGGCCCCCAGCAAGATGCTCACGCTGAGTGAGATCTACCAGTGGATCATGGACCTCTTCCCCTATTACCGGCAGAACCAGCAGCGCTGGCAGAACTCCATCCGCCACTCGCTGTCCTTCAACGACTGCTTCGTCAAAGTGGCGCGCTCCCCCGACAAGCCGGGCAAGGGCTCCTACTGGACGCTGCACCCGGACTCCGGCAACATGTTTGAAAACGGCTGTTACCTGCGCCGCCAGAAGCGCTTCAAGTGCGAGAAGCAGCCTGGGGCCGGGGGCGGGGAGCGGGGGCAGTGGTGGCGCCAAGGGCGGGGCCTGAGAGTCGGAAGGACCCCTCGGCCTCGGCCAACAGCAGCGGGGACTCACCCCTTCATCGAGGGGTTCACGGGTAAGGCCGGCCAGCTAGAGGGCGCACCGGCCCCGGGGCCCACTGCCAGCCCCCAGACTCTGGACCACAGCGGGGCGACGGCGACAGGGGGCGCCTCGGAGTTGAAGACTCCAGCCTCCTCAGCTGCGCCCCCGATCAGCTCCGGGCCTGGGGCTCTGGTATCTGTGCCCCCCTCCCACCCAGTGCATGGTCTGGCACCCCACGAGTCCCAGCTCCACCTGAAAGGGGACCCCCACTACTCCTTCAACCACCCCTTCTCCATCAACAACCTCATGTCCTCGGATCAGCAGCACAAGCTGGACTTCAAGGCATATGAGCAGGCGATACAGTACTCACCCTACAGCGCCTCATTGCCTGCCAGCCTGCCACTGGGCAGCGCGTCGGTGGCCACCAGGAGCCCCATTGAGCCCTCAGCCCTGGAGCCGGCCTACTACCAAGGTGTGTATTCCAGACCTGTCCTAAACACTTCCTAGCTGTCCTAGACTAGGGGTTTGTTTGTCGTGACCATGCTGGTAGCAGGAGAGGGGGGAAACAGCAGCAAACAAAACCATACATACCAAGCTGACAACAGCAGAATAAAATACCAACTATTTTTATTTCTTTTTGTGTGTGTGTGCACAATCTTTTTCCCAGTGCAAAGGACTGTTACTTTGTTGTTATTCAAATGCCTGTGTATATCAGTAGGAAGAAAACCGACCCCAAACCAACTGAATTTTTCCCTGCAAAGTTTAATGATCCACAAGTGTATATATCAATATTCCTACTTCCTTATCCCGTTTCTTTCTCTTTCCCATCAGACACATTCTAGTG